CTGTGCCACAGAATGGCCTTCTGACATAAATAAAAATCAACCCCAGATGCTGCTTTTCACTCGGAGGATTAGCCTCAATGTTGGGAAACAGAAGCCTGAAACACGCATGGCGGAGCGCCCTGCGGGTGGCCTCTCCGCGCACTCGAGGCTGCGGGCCGCGGTGATTTGTGCGCAGTGTGGGTAAGTGCTGTTCTGACATTATGAACGCCCCGCACTCCGCAGAGGACCACGGCCTGTTGCCTCGGAATGTGCTGTCTGCCGCTGTAGCTGGAGCACGTTAAGGGAGCGATTCAAACTCGGTAAAACAGACGCTTGTTTCCTTCTTTGCTTCCCCACCCCAGGACCCGTCTGTGAGTTCCAGAAACAACTGTGACATCTGACAGGGTGGGCGTGGCAGTTCTGCTCCCACGCGCAGCGAGGCTCCAGGGGGCCAGCTCCGGGGCACAGAGGCCCTCCAGAAGTGGCTGGCCCGTGACGTCCCCAGGGCACACCTAGGAGTGGATACCTTCCTCCCGGGGACAGATCTACTTGGGGTGGTGGTTGGCCTCAGGGGATGGGGACTTCCTGGGTGGGCTAGGCTGGCCAGGTGCACCCCTGCTCTGCCCTCCAGTAACACTCGCAGGGGCCTAGATGGCAGGCCTGAGACTGGATTGGTTTTGCACAATGTTCTAAATATATTTTGCCTACATTTCTAAATTATGCAACTTCACACGAGAAGCCAAGATTTCTGGCTTCTCTTGAAATAACTGGACCCACATTCACACAAAGCAGCCGTGGCGTGGCGTCTTCAGGGGCCTCGGTGCTTGGAGCCTCTAACCATCAGGCCCTCCTCCGCTAGGTCCCCTTCCGGTGTTCACCTGGCTCACCCGTTAGGTACCTGGAGTACGTTGTTCTTAGTTGCTGTCAGTCGGCTCTGACTCGTGACCCCGTGTTGCCTGCTCCTGCGCCATCTTCACAACACTTGGCAAGCTTGAGTCTATTTTTGCAGCCACTGTGCGTTTTGAATGCCTTCCAACCTAGGGGCTCATCTTCCGGCCCTGGATCTGACGATGTTCTCTTGAGATCCGTAGGATTTTCATTGGCCCATTTTTGGAAGTAGATCACCAGGTTTTTCTTCCTGGTCTGTCTTCGTCTCGAGGCTCCGCTGCAACTTGTCTACCATGGGTGACCTGGTATTTGAAATATTGGTGGCATAGCTTCCAGCATCACAGCAACAGGCAAGCCACCACAGTATGACACACCGACAGACAAGTGGTGGTTTTATGTATAAAAGACCCATTGCCATTGAGTCGATCCTGACTCATAGCAATCCTATAGGACACAGTAGGACTGCTCTGTAGGGTTTCCAAGGAGTGGCTGGCGGATTCGAACTGCCGACCTTTTGGTTAGCAGTCAAGCTCTTAACCACTGTGCCACCAGGGCTCCAGTTTTAAGTATGGGACTCCTGAATTGTACCATATCACCCACTTCTCTCAGATTTCTTCCCTGAAGTTCTGCTCCACCTTCTTGGGCAACAGGCTTCCGCTGCCCAGTCAGGAAAACCAATACGGGGTGCATTAAAAACCCAGCTATTCCAGGGGCAACTGGATCTCAGTGCTGCTGCGGACCTGTGGGAGTCAGTGTGGTCATGCCTCAGAGTACCTCGCCTGAGGGAGACAGAGTTGGAGTGTTGATCCATTGCTCCAGAGTGGGGGCATGTCATGGATTGAATTATGTGCCCCCCAAAATGTGTGTATCAGTTTGGCTGGGCCATGATTCCCAGTATTGTGTGGTTGTCCTCCATTTTGTGATTGTAATTTTATATTAAAGACGATTAGGGTGGGATTGTATAACACCCTTACTAAGGTCACATCCCGGATCCAATGTAAAGCGAGTTTCCCTGGGGTGTGGCCTGCACCACCTTTTATCTTAAAAGAGATAAAAGGAAAGGGAAGCAAGCAGAGAATGGGGAACCTCATACCACCAAGAAAGCAGTGCCGGGAACAGAGCCGTCCTTTAGACCTGAGGTTCCTATGCAGAGAAGCTCCCAGACCAAGGGAAGATTGAAGACACAGACCTTCCTCCAGAGCCTACAGAGAAAGCGTTCCCCTGGAACTGACACCCTGAATTTGGACTTGTAGTCTGCTGGACTGTGAGAGAATAAACTTCTCTTTGTTAAAGCCATCCACTCGTGGTATTTCTGTTACAGCAGCACTATATGACTAAGACAGGGTATTAACCCTCTGGCACTTCTCTCTTGCCCCATGAATGCTCTAGGATGTTCCCACAGACAGAAAAAACCCTCAGGTAGAGAGCCACAGGCGGTCTCAGTGATCTGCCTTGAGCCCCCTGTCTCAAAGTCCAGATCTCAGAGAGCAAGACCCAGGAAGAGTGGGGAGTACCTTCTCTCACCTTCTGGCTTCTGGCAGAGAAAAGACCTCCTCCCCAGATGACTGACACCAAAAATAGCCAAATGATTAAGGAGCACAGCTGCTCACAGAAAAAGGTTGGAGGTTTGAGTCCACCCAGAGGTGCCTCAAAAGAAAGGCCTGGTGATCTACTTCTGAAAAAGCTAACACATATGGGGTTGCCGTGAGTTGGTGTTGACTTGATGGCACCTGGAAGCTGGATGTGAGGAGACCCCTTCTTTGGCCTCAAATGCTAACCAGACCTAAATGCACTTCCCTCCCCCCCTCCCCCCCAGCTTCCAGGGAGACACACCATTGCAAAGATCATTTCACTACTTAATCTGGATGTGGCTTTGGCCTTGACACCCAGGGATTAAATGATTGCCTAAATTTGTGGCAGACACAGGCACCCAGGCACTAAGTATGATTTAGAGGTTCCTGCCCTCAAATAGCGCCTTGGCCAGCCCTCCGCGATGGCTGAGTTTTCCAGCACGTGATGCGCGCGAGGTCAGCATGTCCTTGTTGAATGCCCGTTTGTCACCTAGCTGAGTAACACATTAATCGGCCAATACCGACTTATCATGCATTTCCACATTAGCGGAGAGAAGGGCAATGAGATAATGGAACACAGGACAGATGAATTTCGCTGAAGGAGAAGGAGGAGCAGGAAAGGCAGGGAGCCTGGTGGTGAGAAATGGCTGGAAGGGAGCAGGGCGGGGCCTGAGGGGGAGAAGGGTTTTCTCCCATTAGCTGGGCTGGAGAATCACTGCCTGGGGAGGCAAAGATCTGCAGGGTCATGGTCCTTGTCATTATTTTACACAGAGCCTTTGGGGTCTTCCCAGTATAGGGTGCTGAGGTCTGTGCTTGGCCCAGGGATGGCCTCCAGGCAGGCTGAGCACTTTCTCCAAATTCGGGCTGGGGTCTGGGAGGTACCCGGCTCTGTGTGTGTTCACAGGAGTCTCTGGCCAGGCTCTGCACATTCATCTCCGAAGTCAAGAAGTGGGGAGAGTGGGGGGAGGGACATATAGATGCTGAAAACCCGAATTCTACACGTGGCAGAAGGAACAAATCTGTCTTGGAAGAAGTACGCCCAGAATGCTCCTTAGCAGCTGAGGATGGAGAGACTGCCTCTCACCTAGTTTGGACACGTTATCAGGAGGGACCAGTTCCTGGAGAAGGACATCATGGTTGCTAAAGAGGGTCAGTGGGAAAAAAAAGAAGACCCTCAACGAGATGGATTGACACAGTGGCTGGTACAACGGGTTCAAACACACCTACTATTGTGAGGATGACGCAGGACCGGGCAGTGCTTCCTTTTGTTGTACATGGGGTCGCTATGAGTTGGAATCGACCCCACCACACCTAACAACACACATTCTAGAGTTGGCAGGCGCCTTCGCGAGCTTCTGCTCACCCTAACTTTATAATGGAGAAACCGAGGCCAGGGAGACCCCGTGACTTAAGCGCGTCATACACCAATTAGTGCTGGATGGCAGACTAGAACCTGAGGCCCTGCCACTTCCGCCCCCTCTGCATGCCCCCTGTTCTGGGCTCTGCGGAAAGGCCGGGCGCCACAGGCCAAGTTTGGACTCAGATTAGTTAGCAAAGCCCCCCACCCCAGGGAATTCCTGGCAGGGAGAAGGGAGAGAATGGGCGAGTGTTGCAAAGTGAGGTCAGATCAGGTGTAGAGCGGCCGATGAGAAGCGCGGGGTTGCAGAGGCGGCGGTCGGAGGGCGTGGAAAGGAGGGGTCTCCTCCCATCGCCGACCTACCCGGTGCCCTGCAGCAGCCGAAGCAGCCCTCGGTCCTCGGGGCTGTGGCGCCCGTGATGCTCCGGACTGCGGGGTGCCCAGCCCGGCCTGTCCTCCCAGAGCGCCCGCCCCCTGTCCCCTCCCGGGTGGCGGGGCGCGCTGCAGGGCGATGACCACGAGGTGGCGCCGGCGCACCGAGGACGCGCGGCAGACGCTCCCGGGCCGCCCAGCCGCGGCTCGGCAGCCTCCTCCGAGGAACAATGCGGCGCCTC